AAAAACTAAATGTTGCCAACAACTTCATGAGTTAGAATGTAGACTCTTTTCCAGTCACCTCTGGATGAGAACCCAGTTTTATCTCCCACCTTGACTGATGCTGCCGTGCAGAAGACTCCACTGGACTCTTGCCTCACAGATCCTGAGGTAATATGTGTATATAGGTTTTAATTATTAAATTCATGGTGATCTTGTTATGCAGACATGCATAGCTAATACAATTAGAACCTCGTTCTATGATATCTTTCTAATTCAACAATGAGATTCCATTGGTTTTGTTGCAGTAACCTAAAGAAATAATTAATCTAATGAAGGCAAATTGTGAAATAAGGTGATATGAATGCTCAATGAAGTTTTAAGAAGTTTCTAAGTCTTACATAGAATTTACTCAGAAGATATAGACAATGAGATGTTTTTGATCCTTTCAATAAAGTATTTAATGAAGAATGCTTTGGACTATTTGGTGATTTCTGTCCAGGTTCACTGTATGACTACGAGTACTTTACAAACTATGCACTTCCATGTGTGTATATTATCTTTAATAAAAGTGGAAAAAAGTATATCTATATTGGTTTTAAATATAATTATATCATTTGTATATTTCTTTTTATAAGATATAAAATGAATACAAAGTAAATAGAATAGGGCAATTTTTTAGTTTATTTTTTAAAAATATTCATTTTTTAGTTGTAGTTGAACACAATACCTTTATTTCACTTATTTATTTTTATGTGGTGCTGAGGATCGAACCCAGTGCCTCATGCATGACAGACGAGCACGCTACCACTTGAGCCACATCCCCAGCCTCAAGGCAATTTTTGATATTACAGTAATTTTACTCCAATGTTCATATATTCTGACATTTTTCTTGAGAAGTAAATGAACATCAGAAACCCATTAATTAAAATTATGGATAATAAATAGACAATGGATGGATAGATAATAGATACATGATTGATAGATTTTAAAATAACATATCTTTCCTTCATTTTCTCTCTTGAAAGTAGAGTTAAGGAACACTTTGACTCAAAGTTCTTCATTTTGGATCTTCCAAGTTCATACCTGCTTTTCCAGTCTGCTTTTCTAGTCTCCTGAATTCTTGTGTTAATTTAGGGTATGGATTACTTAAAAATATGCTTTTTCAGTAAACCTGTGCATATGAACAATCTATCACTGGTTAATTTAATTGTATATAATCTCTTTTCATTCATTCATCTTTCCAAATATAAAATGCTGCTAGAAAATCACTGAATCTTGTTTTAGTACAGAAATGGGATCAAGATTTCATGTTTAGCAAAAGGGCTATTGCTCCACTATGTCTGATGTATGGTCTGATATATCTTCCCACAGTTCACAGAAAAATACCAAATGCATAATATATTATTGTGGGATACTGGAAAATACACATGAATCTATATCTATAAATCATTGGTCTAAAGTCTTTATCTCTAGCTTTCTGATTCATGTTATCAATCTCCACTGAACTATAATAGAGTTATTGTGCCATTGCCCTGGGTGAAAGTAATTGATGACACCGTTGGCAGGTTCGTGGCAGGGGAAGAAGAAGCTGTCTAATTTTCAGACTTTGATTTCATTGGCTGTAAAGGGCAATGGAATGGAATATATCTGCAAAAATTAGTGTGTTCTCTGTTCGGAGAATATGAGGTAGGTAAATCAGGGCTCACAGGTGTATACTCTTTGTATGTTTTGCTGATGAAAAATTTCTAATTTTCCTTTTACCTCTATATAATAGAGAATTTTGAAAATCACTACCTACCTGTTCTTTAAAATACAACTTTTATTGTGACTCCTTCATGTACTTTTTTGTACCTCATTGTCCTGTTTTTATTAATTATAAAATTGTTCATTTTAACCAAGAGAGTTGGAATTGGATGATACTGGCTCAAAGTTTTTCTCATATTTTTCAAAGGTCTAAATCCCAAAATAATTTAAATTTGGGGGGGGATTACCTTTGTATCTATTTTATTATTTACATTCATTTCAAACATATTTACAGACTACTTTAGTATATGACTGGCCATTTTTTCTTTCATTCTTTAATTTTTGTTCATTCTATTTTCTTTCGTATTAATGTTTATGGAACATGTACAATACATGTGAAGCACAGTGAGTAGCACATACAGACCAGTAGATAAATTTGGCCTATGTCCTTAAGGGATGCTAGTATAAAGAAGGAAAATGTAACACATTTCATTTTCACAAACATTCCTCTGTTCCTTGGGAAAAATGGTGAGGAGGCTTGTGAGACTGACCATAGACTTTCAAATCAATGATGAATGTCCTTAAATCAAGAGGAAGCATTAGGGTACCCTAGTTTTATTTTCTGGACAGAAGTAGAGCAGTAGAAACTTAGGGAACTAGTGAACTAGGAAAATTTCCAAATACATGTCCTGGACTGTATAGAGCAATGTGGTATCACTAATATAAATTTTAGCTTAGAAATTTAAAAGGGAAAAGCCCTAAACTTCTCTAGCAAAGACTTTGAAAGACTAATATGACCCATGGAAGAATAAATTATCTACATTCTTTCTTAAAGAGTGTCTTAGCCTAGCATATAGATCTGGAAAGTACTTGAAGGGAAATTGCACTTCCCAAGTCATAGGAGAAGGCACAGTGCCCACAGTAAAAGATTACCAGAGCAGAAGGGAGCTCCAGCAAATTTCTCAGAAATGAGGAAAGCCAGGGGTAGCATCTCTGAAGAAGGCACTGTCTCAAAGAGTAAGCCCATGGCCTACTTAGAGATGAAGTGAACAGAAGAAAGGGAGATAGCTAACACCTTTGAATACCTGCTATCTGACAAGGATCTATTAAGCTCCTTCCATGTATTATGTTACTTCTTTTCTTAAACATCATCTGAAGTAAGCAGTATCTCCATATATATAAAGAAGCAGAAATAGAGGTCATTTAGCATGGCCCAAAGTCACAGTCTTTAAGATAACAATCCAAGACATCTGGCTTGGTAGCTAGGAGGTTGTGTGCCCACCATCTGGTTCCTTCTCATCTTTCCAATTTTATCTTCTTGTACTCTTGCCTCACATTTTATAAGCTTCCTCAAATCCACTTCAAAAGGACAGTTTCATCTCTCTACCTTTCCCAGTATTCTTGCCCATGACAAAGTGATCCTGCCCATAATCTTTCTTCATTTGGCTAAAATCTACAGGAATATCTTCTGCTTTAAATCTTTGCCCTTGGATTGGCTTAGCTTCTCTGAGCTTATTGATTACTTATGAATATTTCAAATACTTTATCCCCTACTGACTTGGAGGGCGGTACTAAACTGAATACAGTGACTGTGTCTTATTTTTCTGTGTATTAAGAGCTTGCCATGAACTGAATGTTAAAATTAGGAATAAAATCACATCTCTGTTATTTCAAAGCTTAAAAGATTAAGCATGTTCACAATAATTATGGCACAAAGTGGATAGTGAAAAGCTCCATTCAAACTAATTCAGATAAAACAGTGGAGGACTGTTTCATCAATTTCAGTGAAAAAATGCCACTGGAATTTTGGAAGAGATTACATTGAATCCATTAATCACTTTTAATAACATGGATGTATTAACAATACCAATTCTTCTAATCCATGAATATAAGATTTTTTATCTGTATCTTCATTTTTTCACCAATATTTTATAATTTTCAGAGTACATATATTTCATCTCCTTGGTTAGATTTATTCCCAAGCATTTTATCATCTTTGATGTGAGTTCAAATTAGATTATTTTCTTAATTTTTTCAGATAGTTTACTGTTAATGTACAAAAATGTAAATAACATTTGTTCATCAATTTCATGTCTTATGAACTATACTGAATTTATTGGTTTTTAGGGTTGATACATAAGATCATGTTAAGTGCAGAGAAAATTCTACTTCTTCCTTCCCAATTTGTGAAACTTTTTTTTCCGTGCTTAATTGCTCTGGTTAGGACTTCCAAGACTATGTTGAATAGAAGTAGTGAGAGTGATGGACCTTGTCTTGTTTCTGATCTGAAAGGAAAAGTCTTCAGAGTTTCATCTCTGAGTTTGATGATAATTGTGTTCTAGTCAGATATGTTTTTTTAATTATATTGTGTTATATTCTTTCTATACTTAGTTTTATTGAGAGTTTTAATAACAAAAAGGCTGTTTGTTATAGTTTAGATATGAGGTGTCCCCCAAAAGCTCATTTGTGAGATAATACAAGAAAGTTTAGAGGTAAAATGATTGGGTTAGGAGAGCCTTCACCTGATGAGTGCATTAATACCCTGATAAGGATTAACTGGGTGGTAACTGTAGGCAGGTAGGGTATAGGAGGTGGGTTTTGGGGTATGTGTCTATAAGGTATATATTTTGTCTCTAGAGAGCACAATGTTCTCTTTCTGCTTCTTGATGCCCTGAACTGACTTGCTTTCCTCTGATCTACCCTTCTACCTTGATGTTCTACCTCAGCTTGGACCTAGAGCTATGGAGTCAGCTGTCTGTGAACTGAGACCTCTGAAACTGTGAGACCCAACTAAACTTCTCTTCCTTTATGTTGTTCTTGTCAGTTCCTTTGGTAATAGTGATGTAAAATCTGACTAAAAAAATGTTGAAGTTTGTCAAATGCTATTTTCTATATTTATTGGAAAGATCATGTGGCTTTTGTCCCTCACTCTCTTGACATGTTTTATTTGGGGATTTACCTATGTTGAAACCATCCTTGCATCCAGCGATGATGTATGATCCTTTTTAAAAATTTTATTTATTTATTTATTTATTTATTTATTTATTCTAATTAGGTATATATGATAGCAGAATGCATTTTGATTCATTGTACACAATTGCAGCACAACTTTTCATTTCTCTGGTTGTACACCATGTAGAGTCACACTACATGTGCAGTCACACATGTACCTAGGGTGGTGATGTCCATCTCATTCCACCATCTTTCCTACCCTCATGCCCCCTCCTCTCCTCTCCCTCCCATTTGCCCAATCAAAGTTCCTCTATTTTTCCCATGCCCCAAATATGAAAGTCTTCACAAATTTGCATATCATTCTTGTGCAGGGGCCATGTTAATCTTCTCTGTATTGTTCTGAAATTAGTATAGGTACTGCCAAAGCAAGCACTTGTATGATCCTTTTAATGTACTGAATTTGCTTTGTTAGTATTTTGTTGATAATTTTTGTATTGATTAATTTAAAAATGGTACTGGCACACACACAATTTTATACCAATAAAACAGTGTCCAGAAATAAATTCACACACTAATAGTCAACTAAACTTTGACAAGTGTATTGAGAACACTCAATAAGAAAATAATAGTCTTTTAATAAATGCTTCAGGGAAAACTGGATATGTGTATGCAGAAGAATGAATTTGACCTTTTTCTCAAACTATATCCAAAAATCAACTAAAAATAAAGACTTAAACATAAGAACTGAAACTCTAAACACCTAGAAGAAAATAGATGGAAAAGCCTCTTGCATTAATCTTCCCAATAATTACAATACAAATTAAAAACAAAATATCACTTTACATGTTAGAATGGATATTATAAAAAAAAGACAAAAGATAAATGCTGATGAGGATATGGAGAGAAAATGAATATTTTTAAATTTTTCATGGGAATGTAAATTAGTTTAGCCATTATGAAAAGCAGCACAGAGATGTAAAAATTGTTAAAGAGGATCTTAATTGTTCATCATGAATAAGATAGGACAGTTAATGGATCCCAATTAAAGATTTTCTTTTTTTTTATGTTTAGGCCATTGCACAAGGTTAACCTATAGAAACACATCAAACATTCCATTTTTTAGGAGAGGTGATAAACAGAAATAGGGGCAGACCTGAATGGAGGTTAGGGAAAGTTCAAACTCAAGGATTAAAAAGCCAGTCAGAAAATCATGAGATAGAACAATAGTGTAGGTACTTTTCCAAGATTTGATTAGCATAGATATAGATGTATGCCCCTACCCAGTAATTATATAAGCCCCTAGACTAATACATTTAAGGGGAAATCCCCGGTGGGTCCCCTCTTGCCCTGCAATTCTCTTTCTTCTCACTCTTTTCACTTTTGGCTTCATCATTATCTGTGGATTTCATTTTTCAAATTTGCAAGATGAGAACCTAGAAAGAAATCGGAGGTGAGTTGCTGGGATCTGCTAACACACTGTAGCACTGCAAGGCATAACCTGCCATTAAGAGCTGCAATACACCACTCAACAGTGATTGAGAAGAATCTGGCTTTGTCAGTTTGTGACCCTTGGAGCCACTGCTGTGACCAGCTGCTAATGATAAAGCAGGTGTTCTTGGCTGCAGAGGCCTGCAGTTTACAAAGACCCTACCTTACCTATCAGTAGAAGTAGAAAATCGAGTTTCATCTCAGACTCTGGTTTCAACCACACACATATTCAACACAACATGGTAATTATGTGAGGTGATAGAAATTCTAATAAACTTGATTATAGCAATCATTTCACAATGTATAGGAACATTAAAACATGTCTGTGTATGTAAAATATTTATAATTTTTATTTGTTATTTATACTTCAATAAAATAAAATAAAATAAAATTGCCCCAATAGGCAAACAAAGAGACATACCATGTAAATTCACATATAAAGATTCTTTATATATTGTTTCTCCAGAGGATTAAAAGAAAGTTGTCCTGTTTAAATGATTTATTTGTCTTTTTCTTATTTATTTTTTTTTTTTACTGTGGTAAGAACACTTAACAAGAGATCTACCCTATTAACAGATTTTTAAGTGACAATACAGTATTGTTAAATATAAGCAAAATGTTGAACAGCAGATTGCTAGAATTTACACACCTCGCATAATTGAAACTTCATATCAGCTGCACAACAGCTCTCCATTTCCCATTTCCTCCAGCCCCTGAAAACCACTGTTTTATTCTGTTTCAATGAATGAGTTAAACTATTTTAGATACTTCATAAAATGAACTCATGAAATATCTGTCCTTCTGTAAGTGGCTTATTTCACTTCAGTTAAATATCAGGATTTTCTTATTTTTAAAAAAGTAAATAATAATAATTTGTGTATTCATCACATGTTTTATCTATTATGAACATTTTGGTTGTTTCTGATCTTGGCTATTGTGAATAATGCTACAATGAACACAGAGTTTATCTCTTCAAAGTACTGGTTGCAATTTGTCTGGATATGTACCAGAATGGGATAGCTGGGTCATCTAAAAATCCTACTTTAAATTTTTGGAGGAACTGCCTTTGTTTTCCATAGTGACTGTACTATGTTACTTTCCAAAAGGGCTCCAGTTTTCCTGAATTCTTACCAATTGCTATCTTTTTGTTGTTGTTGTTTGTTTTGTTTTGGCAATAGTCATACTAACAGATGTGAGATAATATTTCTCTATGGATTTGATTTGCGTTTGCTTAATGATTAATAACCATGAGCCATTCATATGTCTGCTGTGAAGAAATTCAAGTCTTATGCCAATTTTTAATCAGGTTACTTGGTGGCAATTTTTACTGAATTGTAGAAGTTCCATACATACTTTGGTTATTAAGTCCTTATCGTATATACAGTTTGCAAATCTCTTTTCTATTTCCATTGTGGAAGAAGTAATTCAATTATGGGTAAGCAATTCTTATCCCAAAGTGAAGAATTTTATTATCACTAACACTTCCTAGATATAGAAAGAGTGCATAAAGTTAGCCCCATAATAGTTGGCAAATATCTGTTCTTGAGTTGAAGGATATTTTTGAAGTCAGTGGTAGAATCAATAGAATTCAAATCATTTTCTTACACAAAATGTATTCTTTGTTACTAGAGATAAGAGAACAGTTAAAAATTTTCAAATTCTACATTTAGATTGACATTTTGAATAATTATTTCTTTTATTGTCAAGGTTCTATTTTTTAATAATTTCTCAAAATATCATAGGTAATATATATTTATAAATATATTTTGTTATGTAGCATTCTAATGACCCTTGTACCATAATATCCATAGAATTATGTTGATGTTATTGAATGGATATTATGTTGATGTTATTGAAATTTCTTCGTTTTAAAAAGACTTGGAAAAGAAGATATTAGAAATTATAAAACTTCATTAGCTCGTTAAAGATAGGAAACCACCTGTTCCTAAAAGAAGAAGTTAGATCTTTCTATCATGGTATCTTTTGGATAAACATTAGCAAAGATTCTGTACTTGACCAAAATTCAGTCATCATCTGAACTGTTCCTTTGACATTCTGCTTGTTTCCTTGTTAAATATAGTTTTAGCAGAGGATTTGCTGAATCAGCAAGGAACACCTGCCCCACCCCCACCCCCGCCCCATACCTACTCACCCTTGAACTTCATGATCCACCACCTCTCAGGTGGTATCTGCTCACCATGATCACCCTCTCTTCAGTAAGAATCCTATTAGGTAGTTTAATCAGAGTTCCCCTCCTTATTTTAGTCACCTTTTTATGCTGCTGTGACTGAATGATCTGATCAGCACAATTGTAGAGGAGGAAAGGTTTATTTGAGGGCTCATGGTTTCCGAGGTCTCAATCCAGAGATAGGCGGCTCCATTCCTTAGAGCTCAAGGTGAGGCTGAACACAGTGGTGTACTAAGAGAGTGTGGCAGAGGGAAGCAGCTCACATCGTGATCAGAGAGCAGTGAGAGAGACAGTCTCCACTCCCCAGAGAGAAAATATATACCACAAAGCCACACCCTATCACTTTCAGTTAATTAACATTCAGTTAATCCCTATGGGGGGGGATTAATTCACTGATTAGGTTAAGACTCTTAAAACTGAATAATTTCTCCTCTGAACCTTGTATTGTCTCACGTGTGAGCTTTTGGGGGACACCTCACAGCCAAACCATAACACCCCTCATGTTTCTTCTTAGTAATTTTCCATTTATTGACACCTATCCTGCTCCTTGACTATAAATCTCTACTTGCCTGTGCTGTATTTAGAGTTGAGCCCAATCTCTCTCCCACACTGCAGTGGTCCTTATACCTATTTGCATAGTCCTAAATAAAGTCGTCTCTAGTGTGCTTTAGCAAGTATTATTGAATAATGTTTTCTTTCATATACAAAGAAAGGCTTTTCTGACTGTAAAGTATAATATGCATGAGAAAGTAATGACAGACTGAAGCTTTAGAGTCTCATTGTCATTAAAGAAATGTAGAAATTCCTATCCGCTTAGAATAACTAAATTTGGGTACTGTCTGACAAAAGAAATGGATGGGGCAAGGCATAAGGACTATTGTTATCTGAGTGCTTTTAAAAGAACCTTTCATGATGTTTGGCAGGGTTTATGAATTCATTAAGTGAATTGAACTTCAGTAATAAGGTACAAATATAAATTCTTTTTTTGTTTATTTCTTGAGAAATTTCTGGAATTGAAACAAGGGCTAGAGAAATTTGGCTCCTTCCTAGATACTGCCAACAGAGAAAATAATAATGAACAGTTTGTAGGAAAATAAATCAAAGGGAAGAGTTTAATTAATGTATCTAACCCTGTTCAAGGATATGGTATGTGCCAAATCAAAAAAAAAAAATCAGTCTTTATGACACTAAATGTTTTCAAAGTGATCACTGTCCATGTGTTTGGTGGGTCATATAATGGCCTCCCAAAGATGACTACACCTTTATCCCTGGAGCTTATGGATATGTTCCCTTACATATTAAAAGGGACTTTGCAGATAGAATTTAAATTTGCTAAGCAGTGTGTATTAAAATAGGGAGACCATCCTGAATTATGTGGGTGAATCCAATGTAATCACATCAATACTTAAAAGCAGAGATAAAGGCAGAAGACTCAATGAGAAGGATGTGACGAGGAGGGAAGAGGCAGAAGAGATGTGAAGCAGGAAAAGGAAGTGACCCACTGCTACAGGCTTGGAAGGCTCAAGAAGAGGGCCATAAGCCAAGGAATTCGAGTGGTCTCTCAACTGCCACTGATGAAACCAGTTGTCAGTTCTAAGATCACAAGGAATCACCTCCTGCCAAACAACTTCAATAAGCAAACAAATGGATTCTCCCCTGGAGCCTCCAGTTAGGAATGCCACCCTGATCACACCCGGATGAGACAGTGTCAGCCTTCTGACCTACAAAACTGGAAGCTTAAAATGTGTGTGTGTGTG